CATTGAAATTACTCACCAAAAAATATATCTAAAATAAAATTGCAATGAGATTTTTGCACCTGAATTCTTTTAAATCTTTATCCTAAAGTTGTAAGTTTGGGTGTGTTTCTACTATGTACCATTTTCCAGAGGCTAAGATGATCTATCATGCATCAATTTGTTACTCGAAAAAATTTAGACATGCAGGCAATTTCTGACAGTGTCTGTGTCGTCATATCTGTGAGACTTTATAGGGACCCCTTTCTAATGAAATCTGCTGGGCAAATCTCTTACATGGCTAACCACTTCTTTACAGGAGAGCTAGGAAACATTTGGCATTAGAATCTGAGCAGACCAGCAACAAGATGGCTCCGTGTACACCTAATATTACCCAACAGCCTATGCTGGATATTCAGGATGTCGGAAACATTTCCTTTTCAACACGTGTTGTGACAAAAGAAGAAAAGTTGTCTGATTACAGTTTGGAAGGGAGTTTTTATGGTGGAAACTATGAAGATCCGAATTCTGGTGCAGGTGTCCAATTTACTGCAATACCTAAGAGGAAACGAACTCGAAATGTTGCTATCAGTGATTCTGAAAGTGATGATGATAATGCGCCAATTTCTGAACTCAAGAGGATGCGTTTTTTGAAAGTAAGTCCTGACAAGTCAGTTGACTTGAATGAATTAGTGACTGCCACATCTCGTGGATGACAAGGTCATTAGTACTGCAACCCCCAGGCGGCGTCTCAGAAAATGTGCGATGAAGAGTCAGCAAGATAAAAGGTCTTCATGTGGACCTATTGAGGACAAGTGTGAGCAAAAGAATCCCTATGAACGAGGAGACTGATGATGATGATGAGTCAGAAGAGGAGGGAAGCTTAAATGGTCTTATTACTCATGGTCCCGTTGCATCTGAAGACACATCTGGCAAGTCACATGATGTATCTGATAATGACGTCGCCTCTGATTCACATGATGTATCTGATGGGGATAAGATGATTCTTTCACAAATACAAAGGAATAAAGATCAGAAAAGGGAGTGGAAATTTGAGGCTGACATGCTTGCAGCATTTGGAAAGGATCCTCAAAGGCTGTATGTGCGCTTTATCGTCAGCAAACTTCTGAGGAGCAGAAGATCAGGGAATCACTGCACCACAATGGAAGGGGATTCAACAAATTTGATGCTGAAAGGTAGGCCCAGAAGACAATTGTGATAAATTATGCTCTTGGACATAGGTTTTATTATATGAGGACTGATTGCTAATGATTCATGCCTGCGTGTACTCTCTCTATGTGCCTGTTGGAGATCAACTGTTTCACAATCTGTTGAATTTTCATCTTGCCACGGATGTTGCACTTCCAATTCCTCACCCTCTGTCTCTTTTAAGTGTGATAAGGAAGTTTCTTTTTTCTTTTAATCCATTACTTGGTCATATCATTCAATCTTGCTCATTTATTTCCTTTATTCTCAGTTCAATTATGGACCGCAGGTGTCTTATCCTTGTAATTAATAATTCTAACTTTAATTCTATAAATTTCATGAGGAATGGGTTTAATATCAGTGGAGGATTATGACACAACCTTTTCACTGAACGAGGGCTGTATTTAATTAAAACGCAAGCGATCTACTGCATCTAAATTCTTAGCAGTTTCTCATGTTTTCTCGCTGTGCTTTCACTTGCGCAGAGGCAGTTCCTCCCCAGTGCGGATCCCCTCCTGGATGTGAAAAAGTCTGTAAAGGAGTTGGATGAATATGATCCCAGAGGAGTTGAAACATGCAGAACAATGGCGTTTCGTTACTCAAAGCAACTTTACAAAATCTACAAGAACAAAGAAGATCCTTTCTTTTCCCTGAGCACGTAGGCCTGCAACATATGCTTTTAAGTAGCCTCTGGGTTGGTGTAATTATACTTATGATAAATTGTTATTACGTCAATAGTTTTTTTTTTTTTGGGGGTTTGTTTCTAAATATGCATGTGACTGTCCTGGATAGGCTATGTAAACGTGTTTGCTTTCATGAATACCTTAATTACCATACACATCGATCACAAGGAACCTGAAACAGATCATCATGATTGGGCTAGATAAATGCAGATGGATCTGAGGGGATGACTCTGCATATGAATAAAACCATTGAGCCACAGTCGTTTCCATGGACGGTTGCCAAGTTGTGAGAGTGAATACCATAAAACACACTAATGGCCTTATTGTTGCAATCAGTTTTAATTAATTCAGTTACGCTACAAATAGTCAAATAGGATTTATTTTTGGGGCATCGTGCATATTTTGTGAGAAATGTGGATAATTTTGCGGAGGCAAACCACTAGTTAAAAAGGATGGTGGATGGGGAAGAGGAAAGCGCGGGGGAACACATGTGAGGGAAGGATGATAGCATTATAAAAAGGAAGCAGGATGAATGTTCACCTTGGCCAGCCGAACATCTCTCCCACGATTTTTGCATCCGTTGCTTTCTCTCTCTTCTCTCTGTCTTAAAGTTTGAAGACAGAAAGGAGAGAGAGACAGACGCAGTTGGAAGGAAAAACAGAACAGAACAGGAATGGCTGTCTCAGGTGCTTCATTGGAGTTGGTCGTTTTTGTGGGCCTCATTTGCGCCGCCCTTTTGTCCGTCGCTTCTGCCCAATCCCCGGCTCCTGCTCCTGCACCCACAAGCGATGGTTTATCTCTGATTCTTCATGCATCAATCTCTCTCATGCTCTATCTCATGACGGTTTACGTATTTGATTGATGGTTAATTGTATATGATTAGCTTTTTAGATTATTTGAATAATTAAAATTGTCGGGTTGAAAATTGCAGGAACCTCAGTGGACCAAGCGGTGGCGTATCTGCTGATGGCGGTGGCGCTGGTGCTCACGTATCTCATTCACTGAGCCGCCGGCCGATTATATCAGGGAGGGTTTCTGAGTCAGAGGTGCACGCTTATATTTGAGCAGAAACCAAGAGATAGAAATGTTTACGGAACAGTGCCTTCTTGTATACATTTTATTTCTCCCATGTTAATCTAATTTTGATTTGCGGATTACTCTCGTGTCCCTCTTGGATTAGGGTGGTTCAATGATAAATGAGAAGATGAATGATTCGGCCTAATTCACACCATACTAAAAGAGCGAGAGGCCGTTAGTCCGTTACATGTATACACATGTTATCATAAACCTAAATTTTCTGAAATTTATAAAAATAAAAACTCATAATGTAAAAGTAATTAGTATCCTAAAGACCTAAACGTTAGAGCGTGGGGCTTAGGGACGAATACAGACGCGTAGATTGATCAACTCAGCATAAGCGAAGAGACATATGATTATGATGCGCGGGCTTCGTTGTTGAGGTCTGTTTTGCGAAACAGGAACTTAGGACTACATGTATACATATATGAAATAGTTTTATTTTTAAAATAAAAATAAATTTGAAATATGTATACATATGTTCTTAACAAAAGTTAAAGTTTATTAGGAAAAACAAAAAATCAGAACGTATTTTTGTCCCACAAAATTAGATGAGAGGCTGAGAACATTGTATTTTTATCAATGACCATCATAATAATAAATACTCTGTCGATCTATTATCTCCTATTCTTGTTTTTTATTTTCTACTCTTTCTTTAGTTTTATAACAGTAAGCAATTATTTTACCCTTCACATTATCATTTTAAATATATTTTGCAATATAATTTTCAAACAGATTTGTTTTAATTTTTTTTGTTCTTAAAGCTTATTCTAAAAGAAATTGCTCTTCGTAATTATTCTAAACCCATACCACGCCTGTTGAAAAAAAAAAATCACACAATCTCTGTTATTTTTATGTAATTATTTGTCAATAATTTATCCAATTTCGTTCCCCCCCCCCCAAATAATAGAGTTATGAGAGTCATTTTCCATCTCTCGCTTTCTCCACGCGCATATGTTTTTAGTCATATTTCCCTTTTAATGTCATTCCGATTTACTCATCAAAAGAACCATTAATTGTTGATACTCAAAAATCTGTATAATTAGGTCACTAAGTGCAAGAAAATGTGCGTATAGATGGGCTATAGTCTTGAATCAAAGATTAAAAAAAAAATCATGCATTTTAATTAGCTTAATTTCATTGCTAAATAAGAGTAACATTATATGTTGTGAAAATCACCCTGAGATTACCCAAAAAAAAAATTTAATAATATGTAAGCAAGCGGTATGAACGTATTATCATTTCGGCTTGGATCTTGCCATGTACTTGTTATGAAATTTTTTAATACTCCTCCGGCCCTTAATATAGGACCCAATTATTGAGTTGGTTTTGGTCCTAAATATAAGACCTATTTTTCATATTTATCAATTTTCTCTAAATTACCTTTATGGATACTCCCTCAACTATAATCAAGTAGAAGAGGGAGATGAGGTATTAAGAAAGATGATTATGGTGTTTTAGGAAAACGCATCACATTTCTCATAATTAACTAACTTACCTAATTTCCTTAATCTAATCAAATTAGTTAAATGAGTTTTATATTAAAGACCGGAGGAGTACTTGCATTCCTTGTCTCGTGATAGCCATTTTTCTTAATATATATCAGATCATAAAAAGTATTGGAGCTTTCTTTATATGATCAGACAAGATATCTGGGGGTTTCCTCTTAATTATCTATATACCGAGACCAGTAAAGTAAAAGGATTATTATATATTGTCAGCACGACACACATTCACTGCCGGGAACTTTGATTTGATTGCATGAATTTGTTCTGGTTGAAAATGCCACGAGAGCAGTGAGTTCACCTAGGTGGGGTACATATAGCATTGTTCTTGTTTGTAACAGATCATCACAATTTTAATATTCTACAACAAAAGGATATCCATTTATTCCATCAATGCAAAGAGAATATCAACGTCACATATCGATCACAATTTTCTTGTTCACATCCCCTAAACATAGGGTTGGTCGTCCTCCCTTTGTGTATATATGTACTAGCTAAAGCACCAAAATTTCCAGCAGAACCACCATAGAAAGTGGCAATAGCGAGAGGCACAATGGGCTTAGCGGTGCTAGAATCTCTCGACTCCGCTCGTACACAATGGTATCACATTACGGCCGTCGTGATCGCCGGCATGGGCTTCTTCACGGACGCCTACGATCTCTTTTGCATCTCCACCGTCTCTAAACTCTTAGGTCGCTTGTATTACACTGACCTCGCTAAAGACAGACCCGGGTCACTTCCTCACCGTGTCAATAATGCAGTCACCGGAGTCGCCCTCATCGGAACCCTCGCAGGCCAATTATTCTTCGGCTATCTTGGAGACAAGCTCGGTCGCAAGAAAGTCTACGGCATCACCCTCATTCTCATGATCGTTTGTGCCATATGCTCTGGCCTCTCAATGGGTAGATCGCCCGGGGCCGTGATGAGCACTCTCTGCTTCTTCAGGTTCTGGCTCGGCTTCGGCATCGGTGGCGACTACCCTCTCTCCGCCACCATCATGTCAGAATACGCCAACAAGAGGACACGTGGTGCTTTCATTGCCGCCGTCTTTGCCATGCAAGGTGTCGGGCTCGTATTTGCCGGATTGGTGTCCACGCTGGTTTCGCGACTTTTCATATCCGCCTACCCTGCCCCCTCGTATCAAGAAAACCATCTGTTGTCGACACCACCTGAAGCTGATTTTATGTGGCGAATAGTTCTCATGGTTGGAGCCATCCCTGCGGCGCTGACATTCTACTGGCGGATGAAGATGCCGGAGACAGCCCGTTACACTGCTTTCATAGAAGGAAACGCAAAGCAAGCGGCTGCGGATATGGCCAGGGTTTTGGACGTCGAAATCCAAGCGGAGCAAGAAAGGTTGAGTGAGATGAAAGCCGCGAATGAGTATACCTTATTCTCCGATGAGTTCTTCCGCCGACATGGTTGGCATTTGATAGGCACGATGAGCACGTGGTTCTTGTTGGACATCGCGTTCTACAGCCAGAACTTAACCCAGAAGGATGTTTTCTCGTCTACGGGGCTGGTTGACAAGCCAGAGTTGATGAGTGCTTTAGAGGAAGTGCGCCAGACGGCGCTCGCCATGTTCGTGATTGCCTTGTTGGGAACATTCCCGGGGTATTGGTTCACAGTGTTCTCCATTGAAAAACTTGGACGCTTCAAGATCCAACTCTTTGGCTTCCTCATGATGTCCTTCTTCATGTTCGTGCTCGGTGTTCGATACAAGGAAATAAGAAACGAAAAGAACCTCTTCGCTTTGCTGTATGGGCTGACCTTCTTCTTCGCCAACTTTGGCCCCAACAGCACCACCTTCGTGCTTCCGGCAGAGTTATTTCCGACGAGAGTGAGGTCTACGTGTCATGCTCTGAGTGCGGCGTCGGGAAAGGCGGGTGCGATTGTGGCGGCGTTTTGGGTACAGACGTACACGTTGGATGCGGACCCCAATAAAATCAAGAAGGCGATGATACTATTAGCGATAACCAACCTGGTTGGATTTTTCTGTACATTCTTGGTGACAGAAACCAAAGGAAGGTCGCTGGAGGAAATCTCCGGTGAGGATGACGGGGAGAATGAAACCAGCCCAAACCCTCAAATTGCCAAGGCCGGGGAGATGATTCCACAGGCAAGTCGCAATCGCACTGAATCACTGTGATCGAAGACAGCATATATATGGATGGGAAGGTTATATCTGTGGCAGAATGCAAACCAATAAAGGGATTGAGTGTTAAGAGAGATAGTTTCAAATATATAAAAGAATAAGGTCTTTTAAAAGGGAACTTCTTGTGGTTTCTCCGCCACCTTTATATGAGATCACTTAAGTTAACATGCATGTGCATTTGTGTCATGAACCATATTTAAAATAGTTTTTAATAATTTTCAACTGAAATGTGCGATAACTTACATTTTAGTCAATAATATTATAATTTTATCATGGATATCACTCTTATAACTGATCCCTTTCTATATATAATGAAGCTTAGCATGGTAAGAGTTTTGAATCAAGTTAATTATTATATGTATAATCTCGAGTCATGATGATGATGAGTGATTAAATTATAACTACATAAGAATACCTATGCGTCTCTGAATTTTTTCAACAACTAGATGAATATATATATATATATATATATATAGCTAATCAATACTAAAAATGTGTGGAGTGCCTATATTAGCGATGACAGTGTAAATAAAAATAAAAGGGAAAAATGTGTAACTGCGGGAACATGGTGTTCTTCTGAAGGGAATTTCTATATTATATTTACGAATCGATTTGAGAGCTAACTTCAATTTAAAAGAAGCCCTGGCTTGATGATGATGTTGACTTCTTATGCTGACAATGACATTGTATTATAGTATAAACTAGTTACTATGCTCTTTAGTTTGATAGACACTTTAAGCTTAGCAGATTAGACTATTCAGATTTTATTTAAACGGTCCGAATTTAATTTTTTTTATTTGTTTAAAATAAATATTTTAATAGTAAAATAAAAATAATCTCTTAACCATATTTTTTCATTGTTTATAACTATATATATATATAGCTATAAACAATGAAAATTGAACTGAAAAACTAGGGCCACTAAACCTGATCGAGCATAAATTATAAACTCTAGCAGAATGATTGATTGTGGAGGGCTGTGAAAGAAACAAATTTTCTTGTGATGATTTTTTTTTTGGGGGGGTGTTTTATGAAGGGTTAACACGTTGGGTTGAACAAGACGTGAGATTGGTTATCGATCATTCATTTGCATCTATTACCATTTATGTGTAAGTGATAAAAAGTTATTCGTTTAATTGCATTTGGACCAAAATAAGTGATCTCAAATCCATGTCTTGCTTGAAGCAGAACCAATATGTATAATAGTCTGAACGGCTTTGAATTTTGTTTTAAATTGTACGTTGAAAAGATTGGTGAAGTAGTCAATGAAGCTTAAATATATATAACAGCTTTCAAGGGATATTAGCTGGCGGAAGTAATTGGTAAATATAGCAGTAGCAGTGGGTCGGTCACTCAATTTACAAAAGGAAGGTGCAGATCGACCTGAAATTACCAATCCCTTCCATTATTCGTGAATTCTGAGACTAGAGCCGCAAAAACTGTGGACGCACCCAAGATGAAATAAATTCCCTAAAAAAAAAAAAAAAACTCTGATCCCTTTCGTGACAAAGGGTTTACTGGTTTAGGGCTCCTGGTCGAGAATTTCGGAATGAGATGTTTTTGGGTAAAAGTTTGTGAACTGATCATTTATGACTGGCTTAAAATTTGACCCGGCATCTTTGCAATTTTCCTGTGATTTGGACCCAAACAAATACTCGCTCCTATCCTTTTTGATAAGATCCCAAATTCAAATTGATTTCATCTTTTTTATATCTTATTTAGAGATGTCTAGATATTAAATATGTTTTTACCAATTTTTTAATTAATTTTTTATTTTCTCTCCTCATTTTTTTACTAATTCTCTATTCCTTTTCATCATTTAACTCATTAACAGCATCTTTTAATTATTGCTCTCTTATTAAATAAGAATATATTTCAAAAAATTTTAAATTTTACATATTTATTATTTTGAACTAATTTTAACTGTTTTTAAACCGCATAGTTTACTTAGAAATTTTATAAACACAATAGAAAGGAAGTACAAGTTACTAGTATTATTCAAATAAATTGTCAGCGGCTCAAAAGTCAAAAACAGTGAATGGTGACCATTTATTTGGCGTTTTAAGCGCCAACGACAGCCTTCCATTAATTCGAGAAGGATATAGACGACGTGACGTTGAGACCCCCAGAAAGGAAGCTTCTTGGGGACTCCGTAACAAGCAAGAAGCAAGCTCCGAAGCAAGCTATGAAGTGAGGTGGGAAATGGAGATGGAGGAGATCGAGTCGATTTTGGAGAAAATCTGGGACCTCCACGACAAGCTCAGCGACACAATCCACTCGATTTCCAGAACTCACTTCCTCAACTCCATTAAGACCCTTCGCAAATCCCCCAACCACAAATCCCCCGACGATGGCCTTGGCTTTGTTTTTGTGAAGGACTTTCGGCTCGAAGGCGACGACTCGCTGATTCAGGAGGCCAAGAGTCTAAACTCCATTAGGACCGCGCTCGAGAACCTTGAAGACCAGCTTGAGGTCTACCATGTGAGTTTCATTTTTTCGCCCCTAGGTTTTATGCTTTATCGTTTCTCGCGGGAAATTTCAAAAACAACAAATGCAAGAAAATGAGATTCCGCTTCTATTTCACTGTTGTAGCTTTGAACACGAAAGCATGATAATAGGTTTAGGTTGCCGGCCCGAGGCATTCACAGAGTTCCTTCCCAATTTTGCTGCATGAAAAGTGAAAACCGAGAAAATGTCAGAATTCTCCAACTATTTTTTTGTCGAGACCTTAAAAATCACTGTTAAGAAGCTGGTTAAACCAGCTTGTTGATTTGTCTTGTAACTTGTCTTGAAAAATAAGGGGCTACTAGTTCTTACAGTTATTTGAGATTAAATTAGAAACTGTTAGCTGTTAGCTACTTTGTATGGACGGAAATTTGAATTACTTGAGTTTCAGTTCAGAGTTCAATGGGGGCGAGAAAACAAGGATAAGTGACACACAAAGCCACAGGAGATGGTTACAAGAATAATGATGGAGGTTTGGGTGTGTATCCACTGTAGAACCACCTCGACTTGGAAATTGGATTAAACAAGTCACTGGTCGATTCATGGAATATGATCAGCTTCATATGACGAGTTAATTGTCCTATAATATTTGATTTTTGAAAATTTAGATCCCTTGCTTTAAGTTGTTAACGTGCTTCACTATATCTTGTTTGCATTCATGCATGTATTATGCCTGATATTGGTTGTCTTTGACATGAATTACATAACAACACGTGATGTCCTAAGTTCACCATGTAAGCTAACGAGAGAAGAGGAAAAATGAGGAATGTGCTTATTGATATTCAGGGGAACATTGTGCGAAGTTCTGTCTTGCACTGGATGCAAATGTAAAGTTAGTTTGATTGTGTTCAGATCTTATCCCCACTGCTGAACAGTTGTTCAGCCAATGGCCAGTTTCTATTGGTCCAGTGTGCGAATAAGACTTTGCATGATGTGTATGCAAGAATCTTCGACTCCATGAAAAGGCTAGTTTGTGTAGTTACTGAAGGTGCTACAGAAATTAAAAATGATCTCAAGGGAAAATCCTTACTTATAGATATAAGCAATAGATTTGTCCATTCTCTAGTTTCTTCTGAAACCTTAGGAATTCGATCATTCTATTAATCAATCCTTTGCTAAGAAATGTAAGGAACCCTTTCAGCAAATCTAGAGGAAACTTGGCCTTTAGACACCTTTTTCCCTATAAGCCAGCGTAAGTGAGTAGACAGGAAGAGGGACTTATTGTGACGAGTCAAGTGTCCATGGCAACCAATGATGACCTCTGTAAAGGGGGAAAATTACGGAGGAAAAAAAAAAAAAAGGAGTGGAGGGAGGAGGCTGTCCAAGGAAGAAACTCAAGTGGCTTGTGGGGAAGAGTCTAGCTTTCTTGAATATGATAGAGTTAGTTGTGTTATTTTGTCAAATTCTGGATTAGTTGGCTGGAGATGTGCATTCTGCAACCACATTGAATTTTTATGGTGAATCATTATCATAGTGTGGGATTTCTATATGTTTTGCAGTAATTTTTGAATGGCAAAATGCACCTGATTTATTGATACTTTGTTATCCTTTAGCTTCTTCTGGAGCCTGGAAATTTTAGCACTCTATTAATCAATCTTGAAGGATTCTACGGGCATCTTATTGCCATTTGCCATGAGTTGCGGAAATGGTCATTTTCTAAGTTGAATTTGTTTCAATATTTTGCAGACCATTCAAACACAGCAGCGGGCTGAGAGGGATGCTGCAATTGCTCGATTAGAACAAAGCCGAATTGTTCTTGCTATGAGATTGGCTGAACATCATGGTAAGAAGTACAAAGTCATTGAAGAAGCTCTGGCTTTTGTGGGAGATGTACAGGGCGCAGGCCGCGTTCTTATGCGGGAAAACCTTTGTGGTCAACCATGCTGTCCTTCTGCTGAGAATTTTGCAGCTGATAAAGGAAGGAAATCTAATATCTTTATTAATGTCTTCCTTTCAACTGTCAGTTTTGTGAAAAAAGCCCTCAGATTAGATAATGTGAGTGGAATAGTGGGCAACGCTGCTTTGGTTGCCGTTAGCGTGGTTGCTTTGCTACATTTTCATCACGTAGCTTATCAGGAGCTTCCACATAGGCAAGAAAATAGTCTTCCCAGCAACAGAACCGGGCGAAGAAAATTTCAACCAGAGGGGTCTTCGGCTAATTCGCACTCCAGAAATCTGGATTTACTGCTGGCCAGGGGTTAGGCACTAAAATAGTGCTCTTTTACTCTGTGATCTGGAGTTCAGATATTGAAACTTTCCCTTCTTAGCCTACATGATTTTTGATGCCGTTTGCGGTTACGGCGGAGTGCTTAAGGTGGGTACAAGTATGGTTGCACCGTATCAGTTTTAAAAGTTGAGTCACAAACGCTCGAAAAGTTTTTTTTTTTTAAAATGCTTTTATCTGTTTTCCGTTCGAAGGCCGACGTGTATATTCCATCGTCCAACTGAGTAGAGTGTAATCTGTTGAGTGCCTTCCTTTTACTTTTGTTTTTTTTTTTTTCAGACTTTTTTCGGTTTTTGTTTTTGGATGAGGGAAAAGCCGGGGCCCAGGACGAATCTTTATTTGTTAGGCTGCATTCCCTCACTTCGCTTGTCTGTTTAGAATGCTTTCTTTTCTTGCGAGGTAGACGCCGTTACGTTTGCTTTGAAAAATGCTGTCTTAGCAACATTATAAATGAAAATTTATCATGCTATGAACTGCAGCTTGAGATTTTCTACTCTCCATGTTCGAGGACATTCGATAAAGTTGGATTTCCTCATTATCCAAAAGTTGTAGAAACCCACCTTCCGCTTTGTATAATTCTCCGTCGTTTTGTTTGTACGCATGGATCATTGTCTTTTGGTAATGCCAAAGGAAAAGTTTTGGGTCGAGAGATCTTGTGTGCATTAGGAAGATGTCGATTGCAAATTCACTGATATGGTGCTGTGTTTTTTATTAAAAAAAAAACCCAACAACCAAGTGGAAGGGAAAAAAAAAGGAGAGCAACAACGCGCAACAGAACTTTTGACGTTTGGGCTAAGTGACATTTGATCCTTGGGCCTAGTTTTTTGTTTGATTTAGCCTGATTTTTCCGTACAGGAAAATGACAACTTTTTTTTTTTATTAGTTGCCCACCCAGTTTACTGAAGTTTTGCTGCGACTACATTTAGATCCAACCTGTGTCGCACATTTGGTTGTGGTAGGTGAGTCTTCCAACAGAGATTTTACATACGCTAAGGCTCGAATTCGAAATCTCCTTTAAACAATACTAAGCTGCTTACCATTTGGACTAATCCCGTTGCTGAAAACTTCATTACACGCATGTGGGTTATATACCTTCTGGGACTGTCTGTATCCAATTGTCGGGTTTTTGATAAAAAGCCGTTAGCACGTCATTGATGTTTTTGGGGGCCCAATATCGTCCCCTATTGCTCGAAGTCCGTCATACTTTGGCCCATTAAATGAATGGACCTTTACTCTGATTGAGCTTTAGCGGCCGCCGAGAGATTGTCCCTAATGTGGTGCTGTCCCCTGCAACCCCAAAAAAATAAAGTGGTGTCATCCCCCTTCCACCAATCAAACCAAAAGAAAGCAACCCAAAAAAAAAAAAAGTATCGGAATAAATGAGTTAAGCAATACCAACAATGGCCATCTTCTCGTAGTCCATCCGTACCTGAAAATATATGCATTTTTATAATTCGTGAAGGCTGATGAAGTCTCTGGTGGAGAATGCAATTTTGTCCAACAAAGTGGAATGCTCGGTTGCGTTATATCCGTGTATTATAATTTACCATTTGTCACCAAGAACGATATGAAAGACCCCCTCCCCTCTGCCGTTTCGAATTTCGAGAGGCTTGAAAAAGAAGACCCCTTTCTGCAGAATTAGAACATTGATGATGCTGAATTTTTCGAATGGAAATGATGGCTCTGTGCATGAGAATGGATCGAACTGTTGTGACTCCAAGCTCAATGATATCGCAACGGTTTCACATCGGGATTTCCCCCGAGTGTGGATCGATCATCATCGGTCATCGATCTTTAGTCAATACGCGATTGGAGGAGAAATGTCAAAACGAAAGAAATGTCGGAAAGTTTTTGTTGCTATGTGCATATGATTTCCTGGCAACTTTTTGACCCCCTTGCTTTGCAGATTTAATCATCAAGAAAAAAAGGCGTAAACAACGAAATAAAGCAGCATTAGAAGTTTGAAGCCATAATTAGCACTCGTGATAATTCACCTTCGTCTAAACACTTACTTTGACTTCTCATTGGATGCATTAATCGCCTGAAATTAACGAGCAAAAACAAACACACGTTATCTACAGAACTACGCACTCAGGTGTGATGGACAGCCAGAAAACACAGCCTCCCTTTACTGTCCAACTTTTCCTTGCCATTCTCCAATGTCCAATTCCGCTGTTCCTTTTTCCCTTCGCCAATTAACAAACTTTTTCCCCTGTCACACTTTAATTTAATGATCTCCCGAGGGCCCTGAAAAGATATATTGTGTCCAGATGGAAGCTGTCAGGTTCATAAAGATAGGTCAACTTGCAAAGATCTTTTACCCCATCAACTTAATTAGTTGTAGATTCAAACTCCAATGCTTCTTTTTATATATATAGGGACGGCCCGACCACGTTCAACTCCCGACATAGTAAACGGGAAAACATTTTTAATACAAATTAGTTATATGTACATTCATCGTGTTTGAAAACATGTAATGAGATAGTCAAAGAGAACGTACGACATCGACATCAAATCTCTCCAAGTCTCCATTGCTTCGGCCTGTCTGCATGCAAGAAAGCATCGGGTCTCGTGCTCATTTTCTCACTACCTGACAATAAACAGCATTGCAAATTAGTTATTCATATATTTTGGACGCCGTCCTGTTCCATCCCCTGTTCATGAGAATTTGGATCCTTGTTCTGCCTCTGCCTTTACTACGCGAAACACGATGCGCGGGGCTACTCACCAAATTAAAGGGCCCCGTTTTGAATATATATACGTGGTTGTGGTGGTTTAGAGTCAAATGAGGATTACTCTCAATTATTTTTTTTGGGTTTATAGCTATAATCCATGCGTTGTGAAATTACGACCAATCACGTGATGAAATTATAATCTTTGCCCTGACTTTTCAACAAGGTGTGTGTGTGTGAGAATATGTATGAAGATAATGAAATGGGGACGCATGATACATGGTATAATTGTAGCGAGGGAAATGGAGGGGTTTTGAAAGAAATGGGGCGGTTGGACTTGTGTCGGCGGGTGAGGCCTCACTGTGGGGCTCTCCGCAGGGGATCACGACGCGCGTTCCGTTGAAACGCGCCGTGACGCTTCCTCATCATTCCCATTTCCCACGTACTCCTTTCACACTCACAACATACATACAATTTGCATCCTCACAATTGCCATGCGTGTTTCACGTGATCTCCTTTTTCCTCCTCACTATCTTTCACTTTCCTTCCATTTTTTCTGACAAACAGTATTATTTAACCGAACCCACACACACAAATAAAAAAAAACTTTGAAGTGAAGGCATGGGAGGCAGATTCTTCCGTTAATTTTTTTTTCTCAAATAAAGGCTGTGAAATAATATTAGATAATAAATTAAAGATGTGTTTTTCAGCTTTCGCGGGACCCAGGAATATTTTTTTGGGGCCCGGGGGGGGAGGTGGCTAATTTAGGCTTGACAAATATTTTGTTTCTTCTTCTTCTTTTTTTTTCTAAATTCGGAGGAGGAAAGGAACGAAAGAAAAGCTTGGAGGAGCGGAGCCTACAAGTGGGGCGAAGTGGGGAGAGGAATGGAGTGGGGCCCATTGTTACTTAAGACGGCCCAATAGCATGCGTCCAATTGTATGGGCCTTGACTTCTTTGGGAGTATTGAGGAACACCCAAAAGTAAATCAACGGGATTAGATCTAGCAAAAAGGGCTAGTCTCTCACAAAGTAACGAATTAAGATTCGAATTCTGTTGGAAGAGGTACCACATTTAGTGTTTGACAGTGTCTCAAATAGGATTACTTTCAATAGGAAAATATTTATATTGTAGGAAAAAAAAAAAAGGAACACCCAAAAGTATTTTTAAAAAATACGTTTTTTGTAAAATGAGGTAGATTATTTTACATATTTAATTTTTATATGATTAAAGTATTTTTAAAATTATGGTTTGGTTTTTATCCAAATACTCCTTTAGTAATCTAGAGTTGAATTATTAGAAATGGGGAATTTCCACTCCTACGTTCTGAATTTCTAATATATTTCGTTGAAATTAAAAAAGCCTTTGAACTGTATTTTTTATATTTAAAAAAAAGGTAATTTCATGATGTGGCAAAAGGTGAAACTAATTAATAATAAAAAAATTAATGGCATATCTTATACTACCTTCGATATTAAGTGTAAGATCCAGTGGGATACTTTAAGGTTATAAATGAGAGGAGAGCGGTAGAAAAGCAGGAGTTAAATGGAAGAAAGCACTGATGGAGTTGACCATAGCAGTGGTTGCATGAGAAATTCTGGTGGCCACCAATGCAATATAGAGAGGTAGGCTGGTAGGCCGCGAGCGTACCAAGTTGCCTCTAACTCTGTTCCCCAAAAGCCTCCCACATTTCTTCAATTCCTCACCTAACTTCCCCTCTCTCTCTCCCCCCCCCCCTCGTTCCATTGCAACATGACTTGTATCTCCTCCATTTCAAAAAGTTTACCATCTTCCCATTTTCCAAGTTTATTTGAATTCTACATGGATAGTAGACCCTAAGCAGAACGTGAGCTAATAATGTGTGGTAATTCAATATCACCCAAACCTCTGTTCCCTTTTTAAATGGAACCCGTCATGTGTGAAGTCGAAGTGACTTCATTCAAGTCCTGTGTTGGCCCCCGTCGGCACCACAAAGTGAAGAAATCCCCAGCACATGCCCACTATCACCGCATTTTCCCCACCAAAATACTGTCCCTTCTTCACCTCTATCTATCATTTTCTTCATCTCCTCCCTTTGATTGTAGAACATACGACCCTAGAATCATATATCATCACTATATTTTGGATCCCCTCTTGTAATCTCATACTAACATTAATCACTCTCATGTGTAAATACGCACATGGCCCACTTTAATACTGTTCTTATAACATATCATGCTATGTGTGAGTCAAGGACAAGGCCTATTGCAACTCGTGAATCTGACATCATTCGTTCACACTGATCAGCCACATTCCTACTTCTTTCTGCACAGAAAACAGCTCAAACCTGTACGCACGGCACAGTACAATCTGAGGCTCCTTTGTCCTTGGCAAGCTTTGGCCATATAACATCATGCCAGGCCAGCTTTTGCCAATGCTGCCAGCAGTGCTCCATCCACTTTCGCTTCGTATCATTCAAAACGATTTCTGTTTCATAATTCCCATTATATGGCCACTTTCCTCTCTTCTGAGTGGCCGCTTCCCTATCGACACCTCTCTTCCTCATTCGTACCCACATTATCAGATCCAACTCCATCGTTGTCTGCATAATGAAAAACCCATTACGGAACTGAAAGTGACTCTCAGATCAATCAGTCTCTAGAATCTGTCCTTTCATTGCTTTCACCAGTTCGGTTGTATGGTTATAAGCTATTTATTTGTTTATTAATTTGTTAATTATTAATTGCTTATATATATATATATATATATATATATATACCTGTGCCTGTAGAATGACAGAATAACTGAAGCACTATCAGATTACAAGGTGACCTTGTTGGGGTTCTATCCATGACCTTATGGACTATTGGCAAGTCGCATAGGCTAGAATTTAATAAACTATCTAAAAATGTCAGGTCCTTTAAGCTTTTTATGCATACTTTCTAAAAGTGATCGACCAGAGGCCATAATTGCCCCTCCACCCCCGACTGGTACAGTGAAAGTAACACAACTATATATAAACAGTAGTGCTTGGAGATGTGGGTGATGATGCAGAGTGAATCGAAGGAAGTCTAAATTTAATTATATCTCACGTGAAAGCAGATATCATGAAAGTTTGACATTAAAAAAGAAATTTATGGGCAGGAAGATATTTTTATAGTGAAATAGGTTGCATCACAGGATAATGTTTTTAAATTCATGGGACTCCTTACAATCATGAAACTATCATTTCAAACATGTCCTTCCTCCTAGCCATGCCTGCTGCTTCATCATGAACAGTGTGCCTTTTGGAGCTGCTTCCTGAAATTTTATGTCATATTCACAGGGATGGTTTTTTTTTTTTTATTCATTTGAATTTTTTGAAAATGAGATTTTCAGGTCCTTTGCTGTACTATATATTAGAACATACACAACCAAAAAAAAAAAAAAGAGCTCATAATTATGATATTCTCAACTTTGACTCCGCACAACTAATTTTGTCATTATTTTCCTAACGTTTAAAATTTTCAACATTCTGGTTTTTATTAATATTTTAAAAACTATTTATGATCTCATGTGTCTTATATATTAGTAATATATTTTGTAATTGATCATTTATCATGTTCATTTATTTGCTACATTTTATTATTTTATGATTTGATGCAATATTTTGTTAAAATTTCATGTAATAACCAGCTTGAACCCCATATAAACGTACAGGGATTCTTAATTCGTTTCATAACAACACAAAGTTGAGAAAAACAAATCAATTGTTAAGAAAACAAAGTAAATCAATTCTATGTATGCACATCGCAAAGGGGTATGCATTTTTTTTAAAAAAAGGACACACTAAAATGTTAAAAAATAATTTTACGTACTCATTGTATTATACTTTTATATTGATATATTGATTAGTTAAAATGTTTTAAAAATTAAAAAATGATTCGGCAGCAGCTTGCTTTCAATTTCTATAGCCGTATTATTATGTCCCTGCAACTTTCTTACATGCCACTGACTTAAAAGTTGCAGAATTGAGAATAAAAAATAGGCACAAAGATGGTATTTAAAGCCAAACCAAGAAAAGATAGTAAATAATAGGAATACAAAACCGACACAGCACTTGCATGAATGAAGAAGAAGGCATTAGGTGAGGCATTTGAATGCTGGGAAGGTGGCAGCAGGGTTTAGATACGAAGTAGTACCGCACAGAAGGCTGGCAGTAGGGCGAGCGAGCACACAGTTAATAATTCCACAGCTGATGAGTTTTATTTATTTATGAATTATGAATTTGAAAGCGGAAACCCCATCAGGTGAGGTGCCACAAAAATAAGTGAAAACGAACTTCAAATATAAATGAAGCACTTGTTTAGTTGCAATCCAGGCAGAGTTGGTAAGCTGTACGCCCCTGCAGTAATGGCTTCAAAACGACATCATTTAATTCCAGCACCACTCTTCCGCCGAGCCGCATTAATCCACATACGTATACATACGGCGTGCATACGAAGGCAGATACAGTATTTGAGGTACAAGGAATATTGCAGAGGCACGTTGTGGGGTTTGATCGGCATAAAAAAGACAAAAGAAATACATATAATGGGGATTCAGGTTGCCAGCTGAGAATTCATATTGATGGACAATAGACTGGGAATTATGGTGGCGGAATAATGTGGTTGTCATTTTCTCTTTTGCCCCCGCCGGACCCTGTCTTTTTCCCTCTTCATCATCAGTTTTTTTCCCTTTCCCTTCTTCTTCTCGTGGTTGGTGGATTCGGGAGACTCCTGAAGATTTCCCTCTCCGAATGAAAAAATTAAAATAAAATAAAAGGACGATTCCGGAATGATGACACGCCTTTTCCCTTAAAGTACCACTGATACTATCAAAATATCTTGTTAACCATAAAAATACACAATTGATCATTCAGTTTAGTCATATTCACTGTGCTGTTAAGATTCGCAGCGGCAATTCTTATTAAGTGGTGTTAAACACGGTGGAATAAAAATTGGAGAAGAATAGAGAGAGGGAGTTGAGGAAGAAGAATGAAGAGGAGAATACTGTGAGAGGAAGAGGAGTGAGGAGAGTGATGATATATTGGTATCTAGAAAGGAATAATGGGAGGAGGCGGGGCGGCAGAGGAAGTGGGAAAAAAGCTTGGGATTAGGCTGCCGCCTGAGTTTTTGACAGCCTCAGAATGGAGCCCATGCATGGCCGAGGGGAGGAACATGGAGATGGAGAGATGTGACTGAACAAGGGAGTGAGAGAAGAATGTGGGAGCATGTCAATTCAAAATCATAATGGCAGACTGATTCTGGGATTGTGAGGGGCGCGTGACTCTCATTATGGCTGCCTCATTTCTAACATATGGGAACGGCAGGTATGCCTATGGCCCCGAAAATGTACATTGCTTCGGACACAATCATAATCATTCACTTTGCAACCCCGCCCTCCCATCTTCATTTCCGTGGAGTGAATCATACTCAACCAATTCTTCTTCCGTTGCTTTCATTTTCTCTTCCCATTTCGTCTCCCCCATATAATACTCTACTATTTTATTCTTTTCTTGTACATTCCCCATCTATGCATCCTACTACATCTACACATTCGTCGATTGAATATATTTCAAGAAATACACTTAAAAAGGGCAGCGACGATTAAAGGAGAGAGATGGAGGGGAGGGAAAACAATAGGAATCTTGAATTTGTGTCCGTGCCAAGCTTCCCGTTTTGTCTTGTGCGCACACTGTGTCCGAGTGCTGCCTATTTTCTCAATTAAAGTATTGCACGAGTACTCCATCCTTGTCATGGGACCTCACCTCTTCATTCTATCAAGACATTTCCCGTATTTCTTTTTTATTTTTTGCCTTTTTGAATTGAAACGGCCTTGGTTGGGCGGCCGGGCCTCCACGTTCGGGACTCAATCCCGTTTCGTGTCACGTCTGTCTCGTGAGAGAGCGAATTGGAAGAAATCTGGCACCCATCATTCATTCACGCCCGAACTATATATGATTCCTTCAATTTGACTTGCTAACTTTATTTCCTTCCTTTTTCTCCGGGAATCATTTTAGGGGGGCTGCCGGCTCCGGCCAATTAAATTCAAAAGTCAAACACAACACGAAACGCTCCTGCGGAAGTTTTTACACAGAAATGAGTTTGGTACAACGTGGAGGTGAAAAAAAGGTGGGAATGAGCAGGAGTCCCGACAACTCCTCATCCCCTTCGCCTTTTCCTTTATACGGCTGCTTTGCGGCCACCACTCTCATCATCAATACCCCAGAAAAAGGCACCCTCCCCTTCACACCTCCCTCCCGCCTACCACCGCAATCACCGCCTTCCCCTTCCACGCTCTCCATTCCTGTTATCTTCTTTCGAAGAATTATTAGTACTAATTAACCATTAATCGACATCAAAATTAAACAAACAAAAAGAATCTGCTCTTTGCGACCTGGCACTTTCGCTCCCGATCCGATTACGAGAATGGTCGTGAAAGATTGAAGACTCATATGGAACGACTCAATACATTTTTGGATTCATAGTTGCGGGGACAATATGTTACACTCTCAACATAGGCTAGTTATTAAGCAACCAACAGTGTCAAATACAAATCTTAAACAAAACTTCACTCGACTATCTCCGTTTGCTATTTATCTCGGAGATTTCAGAGACAAATAATAAATATAATATTTGAAAATGCTCATATTTATGGCTGCCACCGGAGCAAAATGTGGCGAGGGACGGCGGCAATACGCGGAACTCACACTCCACTCCCTGAGTGACCCCCCTCACAGCACCACCAGAGGGTCCGAACCCGACAGTATGTCTTGGAAGTAATCGTCCATTTGGCACGGCGTCGACGGCGAGAATGACTTCTCCAACTCCAACTCCAACTCTGCCTCCCCCACGATCATATCGTCCACTCTGAAATCTTCCTCCGGTAACATCGCCGTCGTCTCCCCCAGAAACGGAGGGCTTTCTTCGAACATTAATGAGTATTCCGGTTCTGGCGTCGAGAAGTCGAACACCTGCTCCCAATTTGGCATATCGAACCCGAAGTAATCCTCGTTCTGCGTGTCGAACCCGAAATAGTCCACCTTCTCATCTGGCATACTCGTTTCGCCTTCACACTCCCGAAACACACCTTCCACTTCGGCTGTCTCCGTCTCGGCCTCACTCTCTTTTTCAGGTTCGCTTGCCTTCTGCGGTTCGGTCTCTTCGCTGCAATTGCTTCTGAATTGCAGCACTGACGTGGGAGATGGCAGACGATGTGATTCGTCGCCGGAATCGTAGCCGGAGCCCGACGCTTCCGACTTCACCACTACATTCATTTCCGGCTTCACCGCCACTTCTGCTTCTTCCGGCTTCTCCCTCGGCGGCGGGGTCACGAAGTTTGTCAACGCGTCTGGTCCACGTATCTTAATTGCTGCATTGTCATACACCATAGCCGCTTCCTCTGCAGTGTCGAAGGTGCCCAACCACACGCGTACACGACGAGCGGGATCTCGAATCTCCGCCGCCCATTTCCCCCAAGGTCTTTGTCGTACTCCTCGGAACTTCCTTCCGTTATTTGTAGAAGAAACCTTAACCGGCCGCCGGCAGGCTTGACTTTCTCCTGCGGGCCTCTTCCGCGGATTGGAAGTCACCGAGCTCCTGCAGCTCGGTTCGATGTTAACCTGGTTCACATAACGCTTCACTCTCTGTCGACTAAAGCAGTACTCTCCTTCCTCATCGCTGGAGGAGTCAGTGGCGTCTGGATCGGTGACAGATATCCGTACCACTCTGGGCTCTATGGGACTGTGAACATCGGCAGCCTTGTTGGCCGCACCCGGCTTGGTGTACTTCTTGGTGACACTTTCGTGGACAGTGTATTTGCATAGGATACTCTGTTCCATGATTTCCATCCCAAGCAGAGCGTATTCTGGGCGAAACAAATAGACCCGGCCTTTGGAATAAAATAGAACCGTGAAGAAGAAGACTGAAACTTTAAGAGGAGCACTCCAAAGGTCTTTTGTTGATAAATCTGCCAAAAAGACACACAAAGGTGGGAGGGGATGGGAAGAAGAAAAGCAATAATGATAGTATTAATGAAATGGGAGGGGGTCAGTGAAGAAACGGGAACCGAAGAGAAAGAGATTGGAATAAAGAGAAAAGAGGAGCTTTTAACATGATGGGGCGGAGAAAGAAACCGCTGGAGGAGCGAAAAACCCGAGTGAGAGCAATAGGGCTTAAAGGAGAAGCCGAAGGAGAATTATTGGGATGGATTCCGATAATCTTGAGCGATTCTCGGCGACACTTTCCTTGAAGTTTCTAAAGGGAAAACTATGTTGGCGCCCTGGAAGAAGAATAAGGGGATTCAAAATCGAAGAGAATAGACGGGGGGGCGAAAAGATGGAGATTCTGGGGTCCTGGACGCTCTGTGTGGCTGTGGGAATGGAGAACAAAGCTAAGCAGCGAGAGTGCCGGTTGAATTTGAAAAGAGAGCTCAAATGGAGAACCAAGAACCAACAGTTTAGCTTTTGAGGGGACCGAAACACCGAAATCTCTGTTTTATAGGATCAAACAGCGGAGATAGGCACGCTCGCGATATCAGACTACCCTTTTTCTTCAAAATTATGAAATTAAATTTGATGCAAATCAGTTTTAGTTTTTTTTTTCCGCGAAAAAATAACGAACCATTCAGATTTTTTCATAGCCCCCACCCCATTTACAAGGGGTGTGAGGGAAAGATGTGGCAAAATGGTACGTCCCGCCGCATCCTTGAGATCTTGACACGTAGCCGAACCGGGGCCCGCAGAGGAGCCCTGAACCTATGGAGTAAGAAGCATCAACGGTGCTGAGTAATCATATCTCGAACATTGCGATGCCGGTCACGTGAGGCCCAAGATACCCGGTCACACTTAATATTAATCGGTCAAATTGTTTTGACCAACCAAAAAAGGATCTTTGATTCTAATTTACCTTTTCCCCTGATTTATGCCCCAGATTTGCCGACGAACGCGAGTGATTAAGGCGGGAAGGTCAAGGGTAATTCCGTAATAATGTCAATTTCCGGAAACACTTCAGGCTGTGCTGGCCAGTGGCCATATGGTGGGCCACTGATTTTTCTTTTTTTCTAGCGGTTAAAGACGGGAAAAAAAAAAAAAAGAGCTTCTATTTTAAACTTGGATTTTGCGGTTCCGTTTAATAACAGATTTTTTTATAATATTTACTTTTTACAGCTAAGAACTAACGTGGCGGGCAACCTAGAATTCGCCGCCATTTATAATTCGATTCTGTACGTCTCTGGGTTTTTCCCCCTGTTCACCGTTACATGTATCGAGATATGCCCCTACTGTACGCGCGGGAGGGAGTCGTGCCACACACTCTCTAGCGACGCTGGAAAACGGCGAACACTCGAGTGAAATAGGACTCCGCAGTATCCATTATTGTGGAAATTGAGCTTTGCTTGGGTTTAAAGCAATGATAGGGCATGGCCAGGAAAAAATCAAATGGGAGGACCGGCTTTGACCCACATCAGTAACGTTTGAATATAAATTATATTTTTTCCCAAAAAGGATATAATTAAGACGAGAGTAACGTTTGGGGAATGAATCGCTGTGATTCAAAATCATTTTACCAGTCGGATGCATTATGACGTTGGATTTATTTCCTTTTAACATAATGTTGTACATATCAGAATACTGAGTATTTGCTGGGCTAAATAATAATAAACAAGCATTAAGTGATTGGCAGGGGGAATGTTTGGTTTTTGCCATGGAGTCAATGATAAATCTAAAAGAAGGAAACCTTTCAAATGGAAGGCAAGCGAACTGTTTCTTATAAATCAAGGAATGGAAGAATGTCAACGTTTTTATATACGGTGATTACGCTCCAAGAATGTGCAGCGGAGGATTATTTATGATCAGCATTTATATGGCAACAGGACAAATTTTGCAATCACATAGTGATATTCATTTGTTCCGAACAAGTGTCAAAATTATTCTCCCACAGATTTTTTTTTTTTGGGGGGAGGGTTTCCTTGATTCCAAAGAGAAAAGAGAAATATGCTTTAGAAGTCGCGTAATATTTTGGGCACGGGGAAAAAAAGAAAGGGAGGGGAGCTTTTTGGAGGAGCGCGTGTGAGAGAGTAAATAAAGAACGAAGAGTGTGGCGTGCCTGAGGGAGGTTGATACGTTGCCTAGCGCAGAGGCGCACACATTGCTCGGGCCAGTGGTTCCACAGCAGCACGTGGGCCCCACATCCATCCGACGTACGGCTGCTTTATCGACCTCCTCCTCTCCTTTTACGTGCTAACCAAAACTAACCACCGCTACTTATTTCACCCATCTAACTCTTCTCTGTCTCGCAACAAATTAATCACGTTTTAAGAATTCCCATATTCACAGTATTTTCCGGAAAAAAAAAGGTTAAAGTGTAATTTTGATCATGATCTTAATTTTGTTTTTAATCTTTTAATAGTATAATTTTGCTCTGATCTTATTTCTCAAGTGTAATTTTATTCTTGATCTTTTTTTTCTCCAGTGCAATTTTGCCGCGGATCTTGGGATGCAATTCTGACCTTAAGAGGCAAAATTACATCTAAAAAAAAGATCATGGTTAAAATTACACTATTACAAAATCAAAGACAAAACTTTATCTGAAGAATAAGATTAGGGTTAAAATTGTACTTTAACCCCAAAAAAAATTTCTTAAGGAACAAAATACTATATGACTACTAGTTTTTATTCCTTTTTATTCCCAATTCACTTCCATTAATTAGGATGGACCACTCAAAATGATAGGCTGGACACCATCGATTATTAACCCGTATGTGAATTAAAAAGCCCCCCATTAAACATGCAGAACTAATTAATATAAGGCATATGCCCTCGTTCGTTTCTAATTAGGATTTCACTGTTTTTAAAAAAATCCTTCTGATTTTTGTTTGCCGTTTTCCGTGAATACATGATTTTCTTTAAATATATATATATATATATATATATACACACGAGCAACAAATTAACAAAGCCAACAAGTTCCTGTAATTAATTTATTTCCAAAAACCGTTTGTTATTTTCTTGTCTGTCATTTGGCCTCACTTTTAATTGAATTGGTGAGTATGAATTGCGTATATTTATTTATTTTGGTGGTTAATAACACAGGTCAAAGTATATAATTATATATGGCGTTAGCCACTTGTGCAAAAGACTCCAGCAAGTGGGGAGGTTGCTGAAATTCGAGATACAAATCTGCCCTTTCCTTGTCCGGTTTGTGTAAACCAAGACATTTATTTATTTTTTTTATAAAAAAAAAGTACAAAACTGAACCGTATCCAATGATATTTTTGCTGCCCGCTATCACAGACACAGGCGTCACTACTCACTGTGGAAATATTGACCCTAATATTGCCAATTTACATTAAAAAAGAAACGGCTTATTAATTGGAAACAAGAGATTATGTGCCAGACCCAGAACCGGCCCTGGCGAAATATCGCATGCAAAAACAATGCATAAAACAAAGAGGTCGACGCCTTTTGGTTGTATCTCTGAATTTTTAAGAAATAACGAAAATTAAATAAATTGGAAGAAGACGCAAGTGGAAGGGGGTGATGGTGGCCGTGATTGGCCCTCCCCAGTCCAGCTAAGACAGGCGTCGTTATGTGGCACGCAATGATTGGTGGTTGGGCTTTCTTATTCAGAATTAAGGAATTATATATTTTGGGGAAAAAACAACAAATTAAAATAGAGAGTGAATAAAATTTGCACATAAATTCAAGGGACTGCTTTTTGCCGATTTGGATGGGGAAGGCTGTTTTGGTTTATGTAGCATCGCTTTGTACACAGATACATGTGCTTCCATGTTTTCTCGACTCAACTCGTTCTATTTTAAAACAGTAGTATTCAATTTGAATCTTGAATTATTATTATTATTATTCTTTTAAAACAGTAGTATTCAATTTGAATCTTGAATTATTATTATTATTATTCTTAGAATGAAAGTATATACCTACCAAAAAAAAAAATAGATGATTTGTAATTTTAATGTGCATTCCATGAATAATAAGTATATTTGGTGATGTCTATCAAAAGACTACTGATCAATGTCCAAGGGGTGATGATGCCGGAATCAGGCACTACTCACATGAGATGTTGCATTTTTCCGACACAAAAATAGCGGAGCACAACCATAACTACACACACAAACACAGCTTTAATCAATTGCATAAACATTATTTCTTGCGTTATAAGAAATTTTTTCCAAAACCCCGCACATATAACTTAAAAGGAAAAAAATTGGGTCAAATTGTTTGTATCTATTATGTCAAATTCTTCAATCACGCATGGTCATATGTTTTTTTTCCCCTCAATATGAATTTATGATTAAATGAAGTGAATTCTTCGAACTAGCTACTCGGTAAATCATTGTGAATAAAAGACAGCATTCAGCGATGTGAAACAAAGACGTATAGGGAATATAATTAAGAATTTGTAGGGAATTAATTAATATTATATAATATGGGAAGGAAAATGGGAAGTCGAGGTAATAATGGGAGTGATGGCGAGTCACATGATGAGGGGGGAGTGGGAACAAGTAAACAGTGTAAAACATGGGTGTGGGTTTGAGGAGTGGCAGTGACGAGGTTGGTGCACATATATCTGTGGTGTGCATAATTAAATTCACTCATGTGACTTTATCATTTCATGTTTCCCTATTTTCTTTCATTTCTTACCCTACCTCCCCACCTCTTCACTCATTCTTCCTTACTTCCCAGTTGCACACATTATATTTAAACCTCGTCTAATAAATTGTATTCTTAAAACCTGTGTATATACACTAGGGGTTGGGTGACTTGGATCTAGCAAAATAGGCTAATCCCTCGTAACGTGGTAAACGACAATTTCAATTAAATCCTCTCTATCTCGGTGAAGTGCTCGCATTTAATGTCTGATAATGACTCGAACAAAATTATCTCTAATGGGAGAATAATTGTGAATAGCAAAAAAAAAAAAAAACTCTTTTTTCCTTGTAACTAACAAGTTATACCTACACTAGTTTTTATCACCATTCATATAACCAACAAGTTATCCCAACTTTTGTTATGTTTCATAAAACTATACCTGTGCTAGTTTTAAACATCTTAATTTTTAAATAAATATGTAAGAAATAAACTCTTTTTTAAGCATGCCCTTATCTATAAGAGGCAAGTAAGAGAGGAAAAGTACGAAAGAGAATGCAGTAAAACTTTTAATTAATACAATTAATATATAAAATTAATTAGAAGTAAAAATAGCAAAAACACATCAAATGTTTAGAACCACAAGTGGGATCTTATAAAAAGCATCAAGATAATTTAAATTTCATGTTCTTATGAAAAAGACAGAAGGGAGTATAATACAAGCCTCATTTTAATGAATCCATATAATTTCTAGTGTACTCCCTCGCTGGAGAGCGTGTGTGGGGCATGGTAACTTTTGAGTTACTATACAGTTAGGTGGGGAATGCAAGTTGAGAAAT